GAGTGCAGTGGCACACTCCTGGCCACCGCAGCCTCGACCTGCTGGGCTCTGGCGATCCTTTCCGCCTCAGCCTTCCAAGTAGCTGGAACTACAGGTGCGCACTACCATTCCCAGCTAAGTTTTTTTATTTTATTGTAGAGATGAGGTCTCACCAGGTTGCCCAGGCTCAGGTAATCCACTCACCTCAGCCTCCCAAAGCGCTGGGATTACAGACTGAGCCACTGAGCCCAGCTTTAACTTTATTTCTCTTCTCTGCAACCCCACTTTATGTTGAGCCATATGAAATTGTCATTTTTGCAGCTTAAAAAGTTTGATTATCAGTAATTCTATATGATTCACTCTAACATTATTTTATAATTTATCTTTCAAATTTAGTAAATTTGTAGTAATTTAAACATAAGGTACATTTCTTTTAATATCAGTGAAACAATTTTTTTTTTAGTATGAACTAAATTTTTATTATTTATTTATTTATTTGAGTTGGAGTCTCACTCTGTCACCCAGGCTGGAGGGCAGTGGCACACTCCCAGCCATTGCAGCCTGTACCTGCTGGCCTCTGGCGATCCTTTCCGCCTCAGCCTTCCAAGTAGCTGGAACTACAGACACGTGCCACCATGCCAAGCTAATTTTTTGATTTATTGTAGGGATTAGGGCTTACCAAGTTGCCTTGGCTGGTCTCGAACCTGCGGTCTCAGACAGTCTTCTCACTTTGGCCTCCCAGAGTGCTGGGATTACAGGCTGAGCCACTGAACCTGGCCAATTTTTTTAAAGAGAGAGAGTCTCACTTTGTCACCCAGGCTGGAGTGTAGTGACGCAATCATAGTTTAGTATAACCTTAAACTTTCTGAGTTTAAACGATCCTCCTGCCTCAGCCTCCCAAAGTGCTGGGACTAAGGAGTAAGCCATCATTCTGGGCCTGAGAGTGACCTTTTATCAGTATTATTTATCTGACCTAGTTTCCTTCTTTTATTTTTTTTAACTCTTCATTGTCAGATGTTTTTGAATTTCTTTCTATGTTCTAAAGATTGCCTGCTTAAGAGCGTGGCAAATTTGACTTTTCCTGTTAACTTTGTGAAAGCATACTATCAAAAAGTGTAACTTTGTTTGCCAGGGAAATCATTAAAGTGTTTTTGAGCCACTGACAGCTTATTCATTAAATTTTAACATTGATAATCCTTTTATCTTATCTAGAGGTCTTTTTTTTTTGAGTCAGAGTTTCACTCTGTCTCCCAGGCTAGAGAGCAGTGGCACATGCATGGCCACCGCAGCCTTGACATGCTGGACTGGGGTGATCCTTCTACTTCAGCCTTCCAAGTAGCCGGAACTACAGAGCACATGCCACCATGCCTGGCTAAGTTTTTGATTTGTTGTAGAGACAAGGTTTCGCCAAGTTACAGGCTAGTGTCAAACTCCTGGGCTCAAGCAGTCCTCTCATCTCTACCTCCCCAAGTGCTAGGATTACAGGCATGAGCAACTGCACCCGGCAATAATCCTTTAATCTTATTTTGAGTAACGTCTCTCTTAAATCAAAGGTTCAATTTCTCTATCCAAGTAACCATACTAAGAATACCAGTGCTTAAAGTAAAAGCTTGTGTCACAGGAACTTTGTTTATCATAAACCAGCAGAAGAAAAAAAAAGACCTTTTAGTTTTTTCTTTACTTAGGATTACTTATCTAGTATGTTTTTGAGAAATACAGTTTTATTTTATCATCCAAGTATGAAGTTATTAAGAAAGATTTTTTGGTTCTGGGATTTTTGTTTTGTGTATTATTTCAGTGTTCTCACTGACTTTGAGAGAAGGAATCTTTCAGTATAAATGAATTTTAGGTAATTAGTAGAGCAACTTCTAAATGTAGAGGACATTAGAATATCTGAATACGCCGGACTCGGTGGCTCAGCCTGTAATCCCAGCGCTTTGGGAGGCTGAGGATTGCCTGAGCCTGCGGGTTCGAGACCTGCCTGGGCAACTTGGTGAGACCTCATCTCTACAATAAATCA